GGTAGGCGCTACCACTGATGAAAGGAGGTTCCTGATTGGCCGACGCGACCCGGCTTCCGTTGCATTTGTTTTTTCGAGGAATCGAAGCGGATCCAGCGAAATAGTCTATTTCGTGTGCCGCATAACTTGATGCAGTGATTAGATCCAAGTGCATTTCTTCTGCAGCGTTCTCGGCACTTAGTTTGACAGTGGCTGTACTGATAGGGGCACAAAGTTGCCTGGGCGGGTCATAAACCTGGTGAAGGGCTGCACATAAACTCGCATTGGTCGCGAGGGTGTGGTGGGGACGCCCCCCCCTCCCCCTCGCCTGGAACTCCTCAGGTTGTTGGAGCAAACTCTGCCGAGCTCGCAGGACGTCCGTTATTCAATTTGCACCGACAGAATTAAATTAGCCCCCGTTTGGTTTCGATCGCGATAGCCCCAATCTGGAAGTATTGCTCTCCGCCATGCGAGTCCCGCACTGATTCCGGCAATTTTATTTTGTCACGCCATTTCCACGTAGGCTTTACGGTGGCGTGGCGCGTTGCGTGCCGGGCGCGTTATGGCTGGGAGGGAAAAATGAAAAAGTGGCTGTAAAGAGCGTTGGCTGTCCGGGCTCGCGCTGCCTGGCCTGGTCGGCCTGGTGCATTTAACACCCGGCCGCTGCCGCGGATTCCGAAGCCCTCAACGGACAAAGGCGTTGCGCCGCGGCGCTACCCCGCGCGCGGGGGAGGCTAGTGTCTTCGCTCTGCGCGTGGGGTAGTGACGGCGAGAAAGAGCAGAACGCGCACTGCCCTCCTCGGCGGGCGGTGTGGCAAAAAAAGAGCGGGACGCAGCGGGATATTGCCTGCAGCCCCGCAAAATGTTCCAGTCGCGCCCTTTGCGAAGGGAAAAAGGGGTGGGGGGTGAAAATTAAATCCACGGCCGTACAAGTACCCAGCCGGCTGGAAGATATTGCGCCACAATATTACCGCGCCGCACCGCACCGTGCAGCAAATTTGAGGCGCATTCTCTCCCGGCTGCATCCACCCCCCTCCCCCTCCCATACCCGCGTCCTTGTCGCGAATATTTGCACGGCCAGAAAATAAGACTGCGAACAACAACTACAACAAGTTTTTACCAAAGTTTCCGGTTTTTACCCCCATGAGGCGCGTGGATGTGGAAAATGAACCGCACACAACAAACCGTGTTTTTTTCCTCCTCTCTCTCATCTCTTTTTTTTCGCTGATGGAGGGGAAGTTGCGCTTGTGACGGTACAGGCAACAGCGGCACGGCAATCTGCCTCGCCGAGCCCTGCCGGTGAAACGGATAGAGCTCGCCGAAAAGAGATAGAGATAGAGAGAGAGAGAGGGGAGGCGAGTGAGGAGGGGCAGTGGGGCTTTAATAAGGAATTAATGACACGGATGATGTCGGCCACTACACTACGCCATGCTGGTGACGGCGTCCACGCCCCCACGGCCTTGTCGGAAGGAATGAAGGTGCAGGCACGACTTCGTCAGCGTTTCGGTCGGTTTCGGTCTACTTTGTGGCAACACTAGGGCGGGAAATCGCACTCCGTAGCGATGGCATGCTTAAGGTAGCATCGAGCACGATAATGCCCTGAGCGCGCCCCAGCCTGCCCCAGCCTGCCGCGGCTCCGGGTAGCGTTCGATGTCGGCCCCGGCGAACTTGCCCTCAGCGCCCCTCCGTACCGCGCGCCGCTCTCCCTGGGGAGTGATATTTCTCACCTCGCGGCCCTGGGGCCCTGGCGCCCAGGGGGCCTCGCTGCAGCCCCAGCCCGCCCTAGCCAGCCCTGCGGGACGCGCTGATGTTTCACACGTCCGAGGAGCAGCCGAGGGGGAGAGAGCCTGAGCGGGCGATCCCGTCTGTCTAGCTCTCTCGCACCGCGACTCCCCGCGAGTGCGAGAGAGAGAGAGAAGGGGGAGGGAGGGAAGAAGGAAAAGAGGCGCCCCTAATTGAGCTGAGCACGGATGAGCTCGGCTTGGCCCGTTCCGCGACGGAAGAGGGAAAGAGAAGGGGGAGCGCGTCGCATTCGTCATTAAAGGTAACTGCTTCATTCCCAGCCGCTGAATTCGGAATAACCAAGCCGCCCCTTCCCGCCTCGCTGCTCCCAGACGCATGCAGGCCCACTCCAAACTTGGCGGGGCCGAGGCCGAGGCGCAGTCAAGTGTTTCTGGTCTGGCCGGGACGCTGGCCCGCACACGGAGTGGCCCAGACCGTTTGGACGGAGTGCGCTCTCGGCGTCTCCAAGGACCCCGGCAGGAAGGGGGCCCTGGGGGCAGCGGCCCGCCGGCAGCCTCGGCAGCCTCAGCAGCGGGGCCGTGTGGTCCGAGGCCGTGGTGGCCGCAGAGCGCGCAGCGCAGACCCCCGCGGGCGGACTTTGGCCGGGAGGCCGACCACGTAGCGGTGAGCGCCACACACCACAAGCCCATTCAAGTTGGCAAACAGCACGGCCTCGGCCAGGCCTTGGCCAGGCCTCGGCCAGGCAGCGTGGCCGCGGCCGCCGGGGCCACTGGGGCCAGAAGGGGCGCCTTTTGAATGGCCGGGGAAGCTGAGTGTTGGCGGGAAGGGCAAGGATTCAAGTGGTTTAGGGGCTGGAGACGAGCCGCGTCTTGTAAGGGGTTGTATTTTGGGCTGAAGCAGACGAGGTCCCATCCCCTCAGTAGAGAGGACTGCGACGCGTGCTCAGTGTCCAATTTGCGGCCCAGGTGATGACGAGCCGAGCCGTGGCGAGCCGAGCCGGGCCGGGGGCTCGTTGCGGGGGGCATTCAGTCAGGGCATTCAGCCAGGCAATTCCCCCCCGAGAGGGGAAAGGCCTGGGAGGCCGAGAGAGCAGGCCGTCGCGATAATGCGCAGTGTAGCGCCACCCTCCCTCTCCCTCGCACTCAGGGGGTGTCCCCGTGTCCCGCGTGGGTGCGACAGAGACAGAGCGACATCAGCCTGCAGCCCCGCGCAGCGCCTAGCGCCCCGTAAAGAGGTTTCGGGCGTCATGAACATTTGCGACAAACTGCGCGCCGGGTGAAAGGGAGAGGAGGGGAGGGGCGGCGGTGAGAGGGAAAGGAGGGGAGGGTGGTGGTGAGAGGGGCCGCGTCCCCGCCACACTGTCGGCCTGCACCACGTGGCGCCACGTGGGGTGACCGGCAAGTGGCAGTTGGCAGTTGCCTGCTACAGTGTTGCGATGGGGTGCCCCGGGGGGTGCCCGTGGCGGGAATCATGGTGTAGGGGGTGCCCGCGGGGTGGACAAGGCCGATGTATACACTGTGGGGCGGAAGGGGTGTAGAGGGAGTTGCATACGGCGGTCGTTGTTCGGCTAACGCTCCTCTTTATCACATTGTGGTGACCCCGCGCGCCAGTTTCGTCGATGGAAACGCGAAGCGGCCGGTTTGGTACCTTCCCCCGCTGACGCGGTCCTTTCTCCCAGTGCGAGGCTCGGTGGCGGCACACCGGCACGCGGCCCCAGGTACTTGCGCCGCGTTGGGCGCGTTGCGCGTTGTGCGGGCTCCAGGTGGGGGACCTCCGCCTCCTCCGGCGGCGGGGCTGTCGCGCTGCAAGGGCCTCAGGGGTGGGTTTCGGCGGAAATGGCCTGGGGTTGCGGTGCGGCTCGGCGCGCAGGCAGTGCAGGGCAGGGTGATGTATTGCCCTGTCCCTGCACTTCTTGCAGACGGCGCGGGGGCTGGCGCGGCGCCGGTGCCGCCGGTGCGATGGGGGTCGTGAATAAATTAGGAGGCCTCGCGGCCAATCGGGGCGTCGGCAGACGACCACCGGCAGACGGCCACCGTCCAGCACTCCCCGGGGGTGGCAGGTCGCCTACCCTGCCGCACCACTGGTGCACTGTTTACTTTTACTGGCCGTCAAGTCCAGAGTGCTCACCTGGCGGTCGTAGTCCTCGGGCGGCACGGCGAACCAAGGCACGTGGATGTGCTGCGGCGGCGCGCGCGGCGAGGACGGCGACGACGCGGGGTTGGCCGGCAGCGGCGTGAGCACCTGCACGACGCGGAGGCGCGCCGGGCCGCGGGGCTTGCCGGCCACCCGGTTGCCGTCCTGGTCCACCTTGTCCACCACCTGGTTGCCGTCCTTGTCCACCGGGTTGTCCACGACGTCGCCCTGCTGGTTGACGGCGCGGTGCAGCTCCACCAGCCGGTCCGTCAGGTCGTCGCCGAGGAGCGGCGGGAAGTACAGCGCCACCACGTCGGCCTCGCCCAGGGCCTCCTCCACGGGCACCAGCGCGTAGCCCACCGAGGAGCCCGGCTTGAGGCCGCCGCCGGCGCCGCTGTCCGCGGAGGTCGTCGTGGAGCTGCCGCCGCCCGCCGCGTCGGTCGTCTTGTTGCTGTGCGTCCAGCGCGCCAGCTCGCCGCCCAGCACGGCGCGGTACCACGGCGGCGAGGACATGGCGAAGTGGCTGAGGGTTCTCGCGTCAGACCGCGTCAGACGGCCCCCGACAGCATCCTGAGGCGAACAGGGGACTTACTGTTTACGGAGTGCCAAGCCGTAAGACCGTTTCCGTGATACGAGCGCAACAAGACGAATAAAAACAAATCGGAAAATGTTGGATAGTGCAACTGACCTGGTCGGCTCACTGGACCGCCTCCTCCTGGACGGCGACCTCGGCCACCACGCCGGGCTCATGCCCCTCGCTGCGCCTCGGCGCCGTGCTCTGTTTGGTGCGTGCGTCGTCTCGCGTGCGTCGCGGTGTGGACGCCGTGCCTCGCGCCGTGCAGTTGGGCCCCGTGCGCACGCGTGCCGTCGCGACGCCCGCCCCCGCGCTACTGACAGCCTAGCACTGACTCAACGGCCGCGCCGCGGGCCGCGCCGTAGCGAGCCGCGCCTTGGGAAGTCCAACACCCCCGGGGGGTGGGGCGGCGCGCGGCGGGCGGGGGTGGCGGTAGCCCAAAACAGACACTCTCCTCTCTCTCTCTCTTCTCTTCCGGCGACCAGTTGAAAATGTCTGGACTGCCTGCACGCCGGGCATGAGTGCATATTCTCAGAGCAGCGGGATTGAACAAATAAATACGAGAAACAAATGAGTTGTAGGTAGGTTTTACTTTATTTTTTTCGTACTATTTACAAACTTCACCATGTCAGTTCAAATATACATAAATTTTCGTACTATTCATATATGTAAAAAAAAGAACACAATGTACTGATTGCATAAATAATTTTGACATGATTTAGAACAGGGGGAATGATGCTACTGAAACTATCCCCTGAGACACTCATTAATATTCGGGAACAAAAACTTTGATTTCTTAGAACTTTGTCTACATTCTACATAAATTGATCGCAGGGCCTATTAATACAATTTTAAATTTATACAAAATTACAATATTTAATGATAAATACCAATCCTTTAGAGCACTCAGCACAAGTACTTCATTTGGAAAAAAATAAACCTATCGATGATAATGCATGAACGTTTCAAATGATATCCGAAGAGAAGATGAAAGCACCACTAAGCAATAAACGGCAGTTGAGATTTACACAAAGTAAACGGCTTCTGACTCTGAAAGACACTCTCTGGTGCCTCTCCCCTTAACACATCGAATCACAAATTGTGACGAGTTTTACAATTTCTCGTACGAGCGATGAAACTGATGACAATACAAAAATCGAATGATTGGGTGACTATTTACAGACAAGAGGAGCATGTCCACTACAGTATTTATTTTCAGAACCAGTCAGAAACTCACAAGAATGGTTACCAGCAGTCGTAAAAAGGAGTTTTGGACGCGCTATCATGACGCGAGGGCCGAAAGTTTCTTTTGAACTGTCGAAAGACCATTCGCCTAGTGAGTTTCCAAATGGCCTTGGTGAAGACATGCCGGATGGTAACTAGAAATATTTTACTATCCATACAAAAGCTCACTAAGGTATTTTCCCCGGTCATTTCAATCGCACAAATCGAGTCATCCCTTAATTTACAACACGTTTCCATCTCTACGAGGTCCACATGCTTTGTACTCCCAGGAACCGTCAAGATCAGATACAACATTGAGGACTTAGACAGCTTACAACCATTAAAAAAAATTGTTCATAAATAAAATGGGGATTGAAAGTTGGACGTTTGAGGAATAACTTTACTCACTCAATTTGAGCAAATAGTGACGCTACTACTTGTTTCGGGTCTATCACATTGGTCTCTTGCCGGACGGAGCCGCCTGCCCGTCAGGGGAACGTCCCGCCAGCGAACTGGCACCCTTCCGAAGACGCTGGCGGCGTCACAGAGATGGCGAAGAAGGACGTCGCTTCGGTGGCGGCCGTTCCGCGGCGGGCAAGGTCTCCGTCCGCAAGCTTTCCGCAAGCTTTCCGCAAGCTTTCCGCAAGCTTTCCGCAAAGCTTTCCGCAAGCTATCCGCAAGCTTGCAAGCTTTCCGCAAGCTTTCCGCCTGTCGCAAATCAGTGGATGTTGGCTTCAGCCCGCCGTTCGCGGCACGGCCCTTGGCCCGGCCTGCGCCCCAGGAGGTGACTGGAGGCGACGTGACTATTGCCGCGCTGAGGCGAGGGGCGGCCTGCAGCGGGGCGCCGGCGGGGCGGGGTGGGGCGGGGCGGGGCTGCGCTGGGCCGCGACACGCCTTAGATGATGGAAGTGATGAGTCGCGCCTTGAAGTTGACTAACCTCTCGCTGGTCTGGGCCAGACGCTGTAACGGACAACAACAGTGTTAGCGGGCAGGTTGCGCTGACTTTATCTCAGCGCGAGGCAGGGCTACTGACCAGGATGAGGTCTTGCACGAGGTTGGCGATGCCCCTGTTGGCGATGACGAACAGCCTGGTGATGGGGCCGGGGACGCCCTCTTGGTAGCCGTCGTCCTTGCCCTCGGCGTTGGCGGAGGCGGACGCGGACGCGGACACGCCGCCCGAGCTGGTGGAGCCGTCCAGGGGGGCGTTCTCGGCCTCGTCCTGGGTCTGCGTCGTGCCCGAGCCGGCGATGAGCTGCAGGCCGCGGCGAGGGATGTACGTTAGTCAGTGCCGACATTCTGTCGTCTCTCTGCCCCGGCATACTATTTTCAATTTTCAAAGTGCAAAACAAACGGGCATGCATCACACGTGAACTCTACAAGGCAGCACGGAAAGCAAGACTACTCTTTCGTAACCAGTGCAAATCGTTTCTGTTATTGAATGGAAGTTGTTTATACCGGTTTCGATTGGAACAACAATCCAGAAGGCCGTTAACCCAAGCAGCCGAAGCCAAACGCACGTGGGGCGCGTGCGTTTTCTTCCGAGTAAGCAATTTTAATCTATCGGCTGCTGCATCGTCCACGCTATTCGCACTATGGCAGAGTGCGCCGCTCCCGGACGAGCGCCCCGGGTCCAAACCTGTAGAGGACGCCGTTTCCTGGCGTGCCCAGTGAATCTGGAAGAAAAGTCTACAGTTTGGGTCTCCACGCGAAGGCCCGATACTGCGGGGCACGAGCCGGGCCGGCGGGCTCTGTGGGACTGCAGGACGCTAGCGGCTCCAGCCATGGATCTACTCCCCGCCCAGAGTCTCTCGCCGCACGGAGTATCGTCACGCTCAGAGGAAAGTCCGTCGCGCGCGGGGTACACTCCGCTCGGCCCGGAGCGACGCCCTTTGGACCCGTCGCTCGACTCGCGGTGGGTTGCCTACCATGCTGGGCCTCGCAAGTTAGGCAACCCAACAACTCCGACTCGGCCTTAGCATTACGCTAGCCATAAGAGTTTGCATTGCTCGAAGTCGGTTTGGTGACTCAGACACACGTAGCTGTGCACGTCTGGCGAGCCAAGGCTTGTCATGTCCGTCAAGAGTCGTGTATCGCCTCGTCATAGAGGAACCAAGCCGTCACATCAAGGAAAGAAAGCAAGTACGTGAGCAAAGAGGTCAGAGGGAGACAGACTGAAGACCGTGCCAAGCAACGGTGCCGTGTCGGTGCCAAAGAGTCTTATTTACCGTGGGATTTACTCACAAAATGATTGCAGATCGGTGCCTCTGTAACTCAGGAAATTATCGCGCGAGTGCAAGCAATCCTGTCCGACAGGTTTTCGGGGAACAACAAACAGCCCACGAGAAACAAAAGCAGTCACAACAGACATTAACACCAGCCAGATCAACACCACGATCGTATATTAATGGGGCGAAAGGCTCCACCGCCAAGGCGAGAGACGTTTTCTCTTGTCTAGCTAATTTAACATTTTCCCGTCAGCAGCCCTGGAGCCCCAGTGCGCCTCGGGCCCGGGCGGACATGACAGCCTGAGGCTCGCCGGCTCGACGCAACGGAAACCCGTCGCCTTCAGATGGTGCAAATTTGAACTTTAACCTTCAAGTCTCGCGGTCAAGAAATAGCCGCAACTTTTACTGAATCTAGCAAAACATTTTCACAAAATAAAAACAGAAACAAGTGTGACAGGGGAGGACGGGACGCTCGGTCTGGGAGCTACTTCGGACTAGCCGTACGAAGCCATGCTACCACAAGCGGAGGCAATACAGCGTGTGTATTTACAGTACCGTATGATTGGTGTGAATGGAAAAAATCTCTTTCTCTCTCTCTCTCTCGAGTAGGTAAGTGGTAAAGGAATATCGCAATTACCGAGCGGGGAACGAAAGAGTTGTCGAAACTGAAACTTGTGTTGATGTTGCTGGCACTGCTCTTGTTGTCATCGTTGCTGTTGCTGTTGTTGTGGTTGTTGTTGCTGTCGGAGTCTTTGTTGTCCGAGTCATCCTGTTGCGGTTGGTTGTAAGAGGTCGGGATCTTGAAGCCGAGACCGGCATTGTCTGTCCCGGCCACCACCCGGTACACCTTGCCGGTAACCCTCGCCGCAGTGTCGGCCATCCGCTGCAGCCACTGAGGACACGACACGCCGCAGCAACGCGCCTCAACATCAACAAACAACAAAACACTGGCCGCGCGCTGCCCAGGCGCTGCCCTCTACCTGCCGTTACCGTAAGTACTCTCTACAGTCCAGTTGGAGTCCAGTCAGTGGTTGTCGCAGTCCGGTGGGGCTCCTGGGGCCTCTAGCCCTCTGGGCGTCCTTCCAGTGCAGTGCACAGACACAGAAACCGAAAACGACGGCCAACAAAATAAAACAGTCATGTGGTAACATAAGTATGCGGCACAGGAAGAAAAGTAATGAGAATTTCAAAGAATTTTCACGTTGAATGCTAGAGACTTGTATCCGCCCCTCCAAGCCCTCCCCATCGCTCTTTACCTGAACGGCCTGCATGCGAGAGACAGCCTTGCTACTCACCCGGATGATGTCGAAGAGGAAGTTGCCTGAGCCGGCCGAGGATCCGCCGCTGCCGCCCGCCGCGCCGCCGAGGTTGAAGGGCAAGAAGCGCTTGTTCCTGTTCTCGTCGTCGGCGGTGCCCTCCGCCTCGTTCTCCAGTTCGGCGCCCTCCTCAGCCTCGGCCAGGTTGTCTGAGACAAAGAGAAACAAAATAATCGAGGGGTAAAAGGAGCAGGGTTTATGTCGACTGTGCTGAGTTTCGCAATGCGTGAACCCAGCCAGCCGACTTTACGCCGCTGTGCGAGGCCAGGGACCACGCCAAAGACCGCGCCAAGCCAAAGGCCAGGCCCCGCCAAAGTGGAGCAGACCGGACAAGGTCGCGACCTTGGCCAAGGCTGCTGCCCAGGGCATGCCCGGCACATGCCCGGCGGAGCAGTCAACCCTTCGTACGTGCCGCGCTGCACCGCCAGTTAGGCAACGCAAATCGCACATTGTTCCAAGCTCACCTCCGCTGGCTGCCGGCTTGAGGTCCTCCTCCTCTTCCTCCTCCTCGGCCTCCACCGGGGCGCTCTGCTTGTCGCCGAGCTGCACGCGCACCTCGCTGATCTGCGACTCGGATCCGGCGAGCTGGTTCTCCGCTTCGGCCTGCAAAACGACAAGGCGACACTGAGGGACTGGCCCGGGCTAGCCGGACTGGCCCGCGAGACAGGCTCAAGAATAGGCTGACAAGAGGGCAGAGAGCGCCGAGACACAACGGACACGGTGGCCAGCAGGCCCTGCTGACAGACACGCCGGGTCGTCCTTGGGACCCTTTGACGGACCGACCTCGGTCAAGGCGTGTGTCGGAAGAGGAAAACTGTGGAGAAACAGAGCAAGCGTGCCCATGCCGAAGGAGATGAGGATGAGATTCGGGAATGAACACCGTGACAGGCAGCAAAGCAGCCCTGTCAGGTACACACAGGGACACACAGGAAAGCTCCAAGGAGTAACTAATACAGTTTCAAGAGCAATGGTAAATGACAAAAATATGCAGTACAAGGCACAAGGCAAAACATTGTCTACTACATGAGTTTATTAAATTTTCGGTGGAACATGCAAACCCTCTTACCTCCATTGTAGGGGATATGGCGGGCAGGGTTAATGGTTTTACTTCAAAGTACTACCCGACCTCACCATGCCTCGGTGCCAAAGGATTACTCCAGCCACAACCGAGAATATTGGTTTGTAACTACTTTATATTGGCTTCATGCAGATAAACAACTGACGGAGAAGTCATAATTAGGCCTGATCGCATTGGCGAGGTGCGAGCAGTGAGTCGAATGCCATGCTTCGTGCAACATCGACCGTAGATCAGGGGTATGCATCCATACTCAAAATGTTCAGGATCAAGTTTATTGCGTGGCTAGGCGGCACACGTGACCAATGCTTCATTGAACGGCGCACTTGTACCGCCCACGCCACGATCCCCCGTCGCAGATCGCTGTGATTTAAATTGAAACGGTTGATAATGTTACTTCGATGCAAGTGAGTGGGTATGAAAGTGAGGATGGGAGGGTTTGCTTTCCCCGTGACAGAAATAATTTGACTTGAACACGAGTCTAGAAATAAAAAAGGCCCAGTACATAATATTTTTGTTGTTGTGATCACTGACTTAAAGTTTGAAATGATTGACCGAAAGAAATTTTGTGTTTATGTACTGCGCCTTTACAAGTGATGACATAAGTTTTTAGATGTAACATAATATAGTGCCTATGGAACACATCGGTTTGGTTAAAGTGAAAGTACATAAGAAAACGGGAAACAAAGAAATTCAAAAAGCCACAGAATTCATAGGCAAATCACCGCCACAAATAACAGACTTGTGAGCTCTGACATTGTGGGTTGACAGTTAATGAAAATTAAATTTTATAAGAGGAAAAGACACAATTGAGGTTGAAACAAACATGATAAAGCGCATGTGAACTGGCATGTTTGTAAACAGAGCAAAAAGGCGCGAAAGTCATCTCCCATAGCTGTCAATGGTATGGGCGTGCGGGCCGTTGGAGGTATTCGGCCCTGTCTTCAGGTTGCTTCGGCACAGTCAATGTCAAGTAGTTACTTGGTGTCACGTGTAGTTCCCAAAATAGCATCAAGTGTTGGGCACGGGGTCAGTCAGGAATGGGTCTGGAGTGAAATGCAGTCAAGTCAGAGTCATATTTACATGTACATATCAAAATTCCATACACATACAGGGCATGCATGCGACTGCGACATGACTTGCATCGGGCATTTACATGCCGTACATCACCACAAATCCAAAGGTCAGACTTCTCGCCCAGACATTAAGTCTCGCCAAGTTTTGGTCAGACCTGAAAGTCTCGCCAAAATGGCGAGACTTTTGTGTCTGACCGCCCCCCAAAGGCCGTAATGCGCCGGACAGTTCCGGCCTTAAGACTTTTTTGTCTGACCAAATTTTGGCGAGAATTTCAGGTCTGACCGAAACTTGGCGAGACTTTAAAGTCTCGCCATATTTTGGCACGAAGTCTTTCCATCTAATTTGCAGTGTACGTCGTGTGTCTCACACATAAACCATACATGCATGGAATTTCGCGTGACTTTCTGCAGCATGCTACTACCACCCTGCTAGGATGGGATCTACTCAAAGCATACTCATTGTACAGCGACAGGCAACATGGTGGCTCGGACATCGCCGCCGAACCGCTGCCTAAAGCAGCAGCGTGTGTTGACAAAAATAACCTGTCGGTGCAGCCAAGCCCGCGTAGTCGACTCAGTCATCTAGCAATACTTGGGAGCTTTGGCATAACACAAGCCGTCATACATTCAGCAAGAGAAAAATATTCACAGAAGTTAATACAGAAATGAGGAAATTGCGCTTTACGATTCGAAGGAGAACAAAGAAAACTCCCGTGCAAAATTAAACTTGTAGACTGAATAGAAGTATTGCTTTGTACAGTTTGTCCAGTCACACAGTTCTTAGTGCGTACGACAGTTTGCTTGCCACATAATCCACACAAATTCATGCTAAGCCGTGATACGTTTCACCTATTTCTTTTCTAATAAAAAAGAAAAAGTAAAACTGAAATGCGTTTATATGAAGAGTGGATGAATGATTGGCAGTGAATCTCTAGTGCAATATTTGAGAGCTGCTTCAAGAACTGATCGGGAAAGAAAAAAAAGGGAAGATGAAAATTGGCGCGCGCATGCGCTGAAGAAACTAGGAAAAGCGGAGCCGGACTGGCTAGGCCACATGCCCGGTGCCTTGGCGTCCTTCCAGCGACTGTTTGCCTGGATTACCAGGCGAAGCGACGAGGAGGCATCGCTGACACACCTGCATCCACCACCCCGAGGCACCCCGAGGCACACACACAGGTTTTGAAGGTTAGTGATTCATGCTCGGGCCGACTGTTGTCTGGCATTCTGCTCGGCCCGGCTTGGCCGCCGCAGCCCTCAGCCCCAGGGCGAACAGTATCGGCGGAATCGCCCTGCGGTCGCTGCCTCCCGACAAACATACTACTTTGTACAAAATCATGCAGACGTTTATGTGACAATGTGTGTTGTTGGCGGTCTCAATATGTTCAGCAACGCTGCAAAATGAGTTCCTGCGCTAAGTGCACTTCTACCCTAAAACGGAAACAGGAAGGATACTGCCGTTTCTGCGGTGGAAATGTGCTCGGCTCAAGAACTCATTCACAAGGCGCTCGAAGCGCATGCAGGAAAATGAAATTCGGAAAATGAAGTCCACCTCTCTTTTGTTTCGACTCCCGCTCTCTCGCGACCCATTCCGTCCGCCGTGCCCCCACCCTGACGCCATGGAAGTACAGTGTTTGTGCTGGCCGTGGTTCTTTACCGGGGTGCTGGATTCGTCCGCGGGGCTGGAGGTGGACGCCGGCGTCGAGTCTTCGTCCTCTTCGTCGTCGTCGTCGTCCTCGCCGGGCGGGTAGGTCGGCAGCGTGATGGACACTTTCCGGCCGGATCCCCCGGACGTGGAGGACGCGCCGGCCGAGGCACTGTTGCCGCCGGCGCCGCCGCCCAGGACTAGCCGGCCGATCACCCGGAACAGCGATCGGGTGATCTGCTGGATTTTTCTATCGACTATCTAGAAAAGAGTGGGGGGTGTCCATGACACTAACACTCACCACGGGCCTCCACACAGACACACACGCACACACACACACGCACACCTATGTACATTATGTTACAGAATCACAGTCTCTATGGCAGTCGGTTGGAAGTCAGTAGTCGGTTGGTTTTCACTGAACACGTTGTGAGGCGGCCGAAACCAACATGATGACGTCACGCCATTGTGCTGTTGATTAGAACGCCGCCAATAGGCTCGATATTGTAAGGCACCGCCTCTGGCAGCGGCGTCACCGCGCTCCGCCCCTCCCCGCCCCACCGCTTTCGCCAGCCTCAAGCAGGCCGACCGCTGGCCAGTTCCACACCCCGGCCCGCGCCAAGCCCAACCAAACCCCGCAATGGCCGCCCTAGGCCGTTCGGCCATAACCTCAACTCCGCCGACGCGACGCGACGCGACCAGCCCGTCCCGGCCTCGCCGGCTCCAGCGCAGCCAGCCAATACCGTCGCTCTGTCTCTCTCGCACCCAAACGGCACAACCTGTGGGTGCGAGAGAGACAGAGCGCCGTGCTGACCGGCCGCCTCGTTACGTCGGCGCCGTGACCCGCGCGTTCGGCGGCTTTGGCCCACTTGTCCCACGCAGAGAGTGAAGTTTTGCGCTTTCGGACGCGGTTTTCGCGCTGTTTGACCCAAACGGGCGTTGCATCGCTGGCATTGGCGTCGGGGCGCAGGGGGTGTGGCCCACTTTGCGAGCGGCGAAGCCCGGCGAAGCCGACCAGCCGGCCGGTGGGAGGGAGGGAAGGGGTTCTCCGAGAATTAGTCTTGTTGGCAGACTCGCTCGCGCCGATCGCTTGCTTGACGTCACGCAGACACGCGTCACGAAATGTCACACTGGAAAAAAGGGCGCGCCGTTCTGATTTTTCAGGCGGCAGTTTCTTTTTCCATCCGGACTCCGGAAGGCGACTGGGCATAAGCGACGTCGTGTGGTCAGCCACGGCGGGCGGCTGCGACCGCAAGGCTGCCACGCTTCATCGCTTATGGACCGGCCCTGCACTGCGTGAAAAGTCGAAGCGGGCGCATTAGGGCTGCAAAGGAGGAGACCCGACAGCGCGACGACTGGAGCTGCGGGCGAATCGGTGCAAGACAACGAGTTAGTCGGAATCCGTTCCAGTGGAGGTGGCTGGACTTTCGGGCGTACCTGGGAAATTCCGGGGAAGAGCTGCCTGAGCGGTCCTATGGTTCTCTTGTCTCTTACTGTTGTGTCATCTGAGCCCGGCTCGCCCAGATGGAGCGTCTCCAGAGTTTCCTGTAACATAAATAAAATGACTTGTAGAAAAAATAATGAATCGTGGAACAGTTTAAGAGTGTTACGCAATCGTGTTCCGTTGCACCGCTTTAACTCCCACTACCAAATAAAAGTGCTCTCAGTCATTACAAAAAAAAAACACGACACGCACGCTCACTGAAATGCTGAATCTGGTTTCAGCCCTCCAATGTTCCTTCACCTTTTCTGGGTCACGATCAACCGGGGGCCACTTTGTAGCCCAAACAGCCGGACCATAACCGCCACAGTGAGGCAGTCCAACAAGTTTGTCAACCAAAAACAAAGACCGGCCCGCAGGCGCCTTGCGAGTAGGCAACCGCGTGGCGTGCGAGTGTGGCGGGCCTGCCTATCCGCCGGCGCCTTCTTGCGAGTAGGCAACCGCGTGGCGTGCGAGTGTGGCGGGCCTGCCTACCCGCCGGCGCCTTGCGAGTAGGCAACCGCGTGGCGTGCGAGTGTGGCGGGCCTGCCTACCCGCCGGCCCGCAGGCGCCCTGGGGATGCTGGTAGAGGCCGTTGGCGAGGCACTGCGAGGGACCAGGGTCGGCCTGGCGACGGGGACTTCCCCCGGGGATGGAAACCCCCCGCGATGGGTCTGCATGGGCGTGGCCGTGTGGCGCGTGGACTTGGCAAGTGCAACCGCAGCTGCAGCACGCAACGCGGCCCAGGCCGGGCAGGCCGGCCCAGGATGTGAAACGCGTTGCAGTCGGCATGGCCTTGCGGACCTTGCGGTGGCGCTGCTGGGTCGGTCCGGCCCAGCCTGCAGCAATCGGGGCGGCCTGGTTGCTCAAAAGTGCAGCGCAAGTGTAGTGCCACTGCCGGGCTTATCCATCCGTCGGTCCGTCTGCACGTCTGTCTGTCTGTCTGTCTGTCCGTCCGAGTGCCGTCCGCCCGCCCGCGGAGGACCCGCGCGTTGTGAAACGATCCACTCGGACTGGTCTGCCGGGTAGCATGGGATGCTGGCCGCGCTGGCCGCCGCGTCAAAGGGGGCCTCTCCGCTTGCGCGTGCGTGTGTGTGTGTGTCTACATAGTTTGACAAGGTCTCCATGGGACCGAGGGTCGCGCGGGTCAGAATGGGCGCCCAAGGGAGCGCCTCCTCGACAACGCGGCGTGCGGCGGAACGTATTGGGTTGGCCGCATCGCGTTGCCCCAGCGCGCTTGTCTGCAGCAGCGCGGGGCCTGCGGGGCCTGCGGGGCCTGCGGGGCTGCAGCTTCGCGGACACCGCGTCGTCGGGGTTAACACATCCATGGCCGCGTCCCGAGGGATAATCTCTGCAGGAAAGCGCCTCGGCGGAGAGGTCATCTCGCTGCAGCTAGATGCATAATTCCGCGCAGCTGCGTGCAAACAAGCGAAAAGCAGCAGAAAAAAAAACGCAACTTCAATGAAATGCATTGTGGCTAATGACGACTGGCGTGCGGTTTTGTGCGATGTGGGCAGCGCGGGCAGTGCCGCTAAGCGTTGCATCACGTATTACCACGCAAGCGGGGCAGCAGCCGGCGGGACGGCGGCCGGCAAGGCGGTTGGGCCGGCGGGGCGCTGACCAGAACCGCACGCATCACACGGGGCTCCCCCCCCCCCCCCCCGCCTCCTGCACGCCCTCCAGATTCGCCACGAAACTGACGAGACGCGAGGACCGGCCGCTCCGGCCGCTCCAGCCGCGCCGACCGGAGACGCGCGTATGCTAATGATAAGTAGTGTGGGCGTCGGCCGTGCCAGGCCGTGCCGGTTCGGCGGTTCCGTTTAGGCCTTACGAATGCAGGCAAGTGCTGCATGTCGTTGAATTGTATGGGGGCGCGATGCTCAAAACTGAAAGTTAACTATTAGAAATTTATTTTTTAGTATTTAACATTTTTCTAAAATAATTTTTTGTTTTTAACATTCTTTAATATTTGACCATATTGGTTTCATGTAATTTGGCAAGGACTTGGCTTCGTGGCATTTTTTTTCACCAAGTCAACAAACGGCTTGCCTCTTTTAACAGCGTACCGTCGGTCTCGAGTGCGAATCGCACCGCACGCGGTTTTATGAAGAAAGAACTGTCCGGGGCGGGAGGGCCGGGCCGGGCCGGGCGTCGCGCGTTGCGAAAAGCGTGCATACTCCTCGCCGACTTTCTGATGAGGCGCATCAGCATACTGCCTGGCACACTGCCTGGCCGCGTCGCCGCATCGGCATATTTTCTCACACCAGGCTACCGCTCCGTGCCGCTCTGACGTCGCCCTGCCACTGACCCGCTGCCCTGACCTTACAGCGGACGCTTTCAGTGGCCTACAGTCAGGGGCGCAAAGCACGTCCGATTTGACGGATTGCTCTTCCGTATTATTATTCCCTTCTCTCCGAGGAGACAGGCCAACTCTTTGCTTGCTCTGGGCGGATGTCCGTCACCCCGTCGCCACTCTCCTTCAGAAAGAGAGAGAGAGGAGAGTGAGAGGAGAGAGAGAGAGAGAGAGAGAGAGAGAGGGAGAGAGAGAGAGAGAGAGAGAGAGGAGAGAGAGAGAGAGGGAGGCATAATTAGCTATGCGAAGAGTCCACCACGCGTTGCACTCCCACTGGGAGAGAAAAACGGAATGAATCTGGCCGGAAGGGGTCGGAAATGAACACGAGTAAGCCGAAGCAAAAAGAAAAAAAAAGATAAAATTGGGGTCGTTCCCTTCTTTTTTGCCCACTTGCCATTTTCATTACGCTATGAATTTTCGACACATGACCCGGAACACTGCCACCCAGCCATCCCGACTGCATTGCGCAACCTGCATCGTCGCAGCCGACCTGCGGCACGGCAGCGACGCGCGCGAATTCACACAGACACGCCACACACACCCACACACGCCAGCTACTTCGTGTGTCCATTTGGTATGGTCGGGTTGCCATAAAACGCGCGCGCACACACTCACAGGCGTACACGAGTTACCCTCCTCTCACTTCTCTCCTTTTTCTCGTGCCTGTTCCAAACGGAGACACACACACAGACGCACATACACACACACGCACTCACACAGAAGCACACATCCGCTTCCGAACCGATTTCGGAAGGCGCTACACTGGTGGCCATAATAGTAATGGCACCGCACCGGATCTCAAGAGCACTTTTTGTTCCGCGGAAATCCGTTGAGGGGAAATAATACTCCTGTCGAACGAAGCCCGCCACTCGAGACCCGCACACAACAAAACGCTCCACCTGACGAAAAAAAAAATATTTTGGAGATAAGGATCCTGACTTTAACTGAAAATTGTGACCCGCTCTTCTCATATGGCACGTCCAAATTCGTTCGAGATGACACGGATTGTGAACGACTCAGTGGGACGAAATGTTGCAGCTCGGGTGGCTCTTCGTGTATTCCTCGGACCGGCGTGGCATTGAGAGCCTCCGGCGCGGGGAGTACGTGGCGCCCGGCCCACGAGGCGCCACGAGTCTGCGGCGCGCCGGTGCTGCTTGGCTAAACAATCGATTCCGACATATTTACACTTTCACCGATCTGTGCAGTGCACTCTTGGGCCGTGCTTGCGGTCCGTCTCGAGCCCCCTCCCTTTCCACTGGGAACGCCCCACCTACCTCACCCCGCCCCACCCCCCCCGCCCCGCCCCACCCCACCCGCCCCGCCCCGCTCGCCCCACCACGCCCCGTTGCCATGGCCTGGCTACCACAGTTCGAACAGTGCCACCAAGGCTGTACACGCACAAATGCCACGTTCATTAGGTCCATGAGGATCACCGATTTCATGACGGCGACCCAGGGCCGCCCGGACCCAACACCGCCCAGGCGAGAACAAAGCCTTTTGCGAGTGCACCAGTGTACCCGTGTCATGGAAGGCGGGCGAGGTGTACTCACACGTTTGTATCCCTCTCACTTTGACCCAGTGCTGCTCCCCGCCCCCGCCGAGGCCCCGACGAGGCCCCGCGCAGGACGAGGCGAGGAGGGCCACTTTCACTGATGCGGCTCAGCCAAGCCGGCCGCGCTGCACCGCGCGTATTGGACAAAAAAATTTACAAAAACGACGTAATAGCCACTGGCGAACCGACGACCATAACGATTAGTCGTACCAGTGACATGCGGTACTTTTCTCGGACGGACTGACTGACCGACGAAGTGGCGCTATTTGCATTCCCAACCGTAAGAAAATGGAAATGCTTGTATGTTTGATTGCGGTTTTCCTGAGCGACATGCGAGCCGACACGCAGCGCGGTGCGAGGCGTCCCGACCGGGGGAGTGGCTGGTTATGCGGGCGCCAGCGCGCCAGGCCAGCCGGACGCGGAGTCGCGGCGTCGCGGAGGAGACGTGACATTTCGGCACCGGTCTGCCCGTGCGCCTGTTTGCATGTCTGTCCGTCTGTCTGTCTGTCTGTCTGTCTGCGCTCTCCAGAGGCGCATCCCATAAACATGAGGTGCTGGAGGGCCTCCAGCGGAGAGACTGAGCGCGGCCAGAAAGCGGCGGCGGCTCGGCTTTCAAGCGGAATGCTCCGCTTGCTGGCGTAGCTGGCGTAGCTGGCGCGCGGCCTTGGGATCAGCTGGTGCCCGGCGGACGAGCCGACCACCCGCACGCGCACGCCGCCGGACTGTCCGACGCCTCTGCGCGCCGCGCGGGAGACTTGAACGCGGGAGGTGGCCACGCAGGGGAACGTTGCATTTTTCATAGTGCGTCGAGCGAGCGCGTCGGAGCGGCAGCCGATCGCGGGACTGGCGAGAAATAAAAGATGAGGATCCAGCTGAAGCATGTGCTGCAGCGGCGACAGGACTTTGGAGTCCCGCGGTCCCAGTTTTCCAGTGCAGCAAGCGGGACTCCGGCAGGCGTGGCACGACGGCCGCGGGCAGGGGAGGGGGTCTTGGCCCGTCTGTGGCCAGTCACTGACCGATGACCTTGAGGAGACAAGCTGAATGGGGCGATCTCCATGCACATGATGCAACGGGTGGCAGCGGGGCCGAGGCGGGGGCTGAGGCGGGGGCCGACCCGGACTACAAGAACAACCAGCAAGGGCAAGGAAAAACGACCGAAAAAAAACAGGACACCCATCTACAACAAACACACACACAGACAAGGACTTGACCCGTGCGTTCACACACGTGACACATAGACAAGCACCAGGGTCGAGCCTCGAAGCACGTACCCCAAAAAATGGCCGGCCTCTGGGCTGACATGTGAATCCGGGACGTCACATTGTGCTACACCGGACTTGGTACGCCAGTGTAATCAAGGAGCACAGAGTATTTGTCAATCAGGAAACGGCCTTGGGTGTTGCCGTATATCCTCATCTTAGCGTCGCAGTGAAGTCTTCCTCGTTCGACAACTCTTTACTTTTTAACGCCGGTACTTACACGCGACGTGCCCCGAGGTAAAAAAAGAAGAACGATGCGACGGATGCGACGCGCAGGATGCGTCTACATCGTCGGGCCCTCTCGCAAAGGAAGGGATTTTGCGTGGCACAAGACTGCCGAGAACCGGCGTCTCACCCACAAGTCACGGATGGCAGATTAAAAAGCATTAAACGTAATTAATTTTCTTGTGAATGAATCTTTCACCCCTTGGACTTTGGCTCCCTGCGGTCGCCCAGCCAGTGATTGACTGTGGAGTTCCCCCAACTGATGTCGACATGAGCGGTGGTCCTTAAAAACGTCTTCACCCGGTGAGGGGGAGGAGGGGGGGGAGTCTCCTCCGGGGACGACCGGCTGCGCACGGCGTCCACACGGCCTCGCCCTACGAGAACCGCTCCAAAGCGGGGCACTTTTTAACGCAGGCGGGTTTCGGTCCCCGCGCACCTTTTCCCCCTTTTTTTCGTGTTTCTACCCAGTTTCGCCGGGAGCCACCGCACTCAAGGCGATCGGGTGCAGGCGGGCAGCTCGCTTTCGGGGTGCAGGGGAACCCAAGGGGAACCCAAGGCGGACCCAAGGGGAACCCACGGGGAACCCAAGCACCGTTCCGAACCGCCTCGGCTTGTGTTTCCAAAAGGAACTCCACACACCGGCCTGGGAAGAAAAATGGGAAAATATCGGGAAAACGTTAGTCGTCTTCATTTTTAACTGGTTGCATCCCTGCTGGCAACCGTGAAAATAAACTGGCTTGTTTACCCTGAGAGGAGCATAGTGCAAACAACAATGTGGCCGTTAACATTGGAACAGCCATAACATATCGTTGGGACAAAGGTTACGTCAACAACGCCTCTTGACCATGCAACCGCTTTATGGGTACCACTGTGTTACAACGATCCTATGATTGACTCTGCAGACTGAAAATATGGGAATCTTTTCTCCGAAACGCGCCGCGAGCTTCGACCCAGCAGTGTGAAGTGGGGAGTCGCGCCCCACGGTCTAAACCACGTGAGTTTCCTCGCCGATTCCGAGCCGTTTCCACGTCGCTACCACTTATTTCTCGCTGAGGTGAACGGCCCGGTCTCTGTGTGGCTATGATAATATGCAGCGGAGCGGGGAGACACACAGATTAATATCAAGGCCGGCCGAGCCAGCCTGCATTCCCAATAACGAGTCGGCCTTCTGCGGAGACAAAACGCGCCGCAAACTTTGTTCCTTTTCGCCTTGCGTAACGCGCCTTTTAATCGGCCGGCCATTTTTCGCGCGCAGCGAGAGATGAGAAGGTACAGTCGCGCACGAGATGACGGTGCGGCGTGTACAGTCGCGCACGAGATGACGGTGCGGCGTGTACAGTCGGGCACGCGCGCGTTGCAGCAAGCCGCCCGCAGGCCGCGGAGGCCCCGGAGGGCTATGGCCGCATTACTTGCACTTGCTACTCGCTGGCCGCGCCACTGGCCGCCCGGCGCGCCGCGCCGCTCACTCGCTCGGAGACCTGTTCGGCGAGGGCCGAGCCGAGTGCCGAACGGACGGGAGCGGAGCCGAGCGCCGCCGTCCTGCCCTGACCCGCACAAACTGGCGAGGCCGACGGAGCGCCGGCCTTAATGGTAATGGGCGGGTAGGCAGCCCGCCAGCACCCCTGCGCGCCGCGGGCAGGCGCTGCAGCGGGCCGTCGCGGCAATGCACGGAATGCGAACAGCCGCGCGCACTGCGGCGCGCCGCGGCGCGCTGGGTTTGCGTCAGGGGCGCCGCTCGGCACGCTCGGCACCGCTCGGGCACCGCTCGGCGCGACCGCAGGCGTCCTTCGCTCGCGAGCCGACCTCCGCACCGCCTCGGGCACTCGCTCGCCTGGCAGCGCCTCGGCACCGCCTACTGGATCGCTGGGCCCGCTCGGCTCGAACGCCAAGCCCTCGCCTCGCCCCGCCTCACGCCTCGCCGGCCGCCTCCGCCCGCGCCGCACCGCCCGTGCCCCGCCCGCCCGCCCCGCCCCGCCCGCCCCGCCCCGCCCGCCCCGCCCCGCCCCCCCCGCCTCACCCCGCCCCGCCGCTGCTCGCGCCGCCGGCACGCCCGACCGGCACACGCACGCAGCCACGCCCGACTGGCTGCCACTTAACAGTGCGTTGTGTTTGAAATGATCACTTGTTAAAAAGTGGCTACGTTGCGGCGAATGGAATGGCTATCCGGCGGTTTGTGTGCAACAATTTGTTTGTTTTCGTCTGGGCCGCCGAGGTGTGGCGGTGACCTTGCTTGATTGTCGTGGCCGGGTCGGGTAAGTACGTAAGGTCGTCCAAATGTCGTTTTGGAGAGTCATTGAACCGCTTCGAGCCGAACAGGTAAACGTTTCTCTTCCGACTGCTTTCCTACTGCTGTTTCAAACGAAATCTTAACGACTCTCGGTCTAAAACCCTGTGAAATTCTAAATAAAATTTCCGATAATATTTTTTGCATAGTTTTTACACCATTCAAGTCATTGGCACGGCGTTTTTTTCCGCACGTGCAGCTGCAGCGGTATATGGCGGTACTGCCAGTGAATCTGGTTTGCTGCGTGCGTAACCATGGTAACCGTCGTCACACTGTGCGACGGCGGCGGTGCCGCGTCGAGCCCGAAAAAAAAAAGCGCGGCCGGCACGCGTGGCGCGCACGCGTTTGCGTCGGCCAAAAACAAACACCTCTTTTTTTTATTGACTTTGGCGGGTGTGCCTGGCGCCTCCGGAGAAAGCAGACGGCGTGCTCGGTAGCGCCAACAACGCGCAGCGACGCGCTGCGACGCGCTGCCGGCGGCCAGAGCGACGGGGAGGACGACGGCGGCCGAGTCCGAAAACGTCGCGAGCGACTTCGCCTGCGACTAGCTGTCAGTAAGTAGTGCGGCCCTTACCGGGGTGCCCCCCTCCCCTTTTGCAGTGCGCTGGCCGCGGCCTCGCGCCAACTTCCTTTCGTAACGCTGCCTAATTAGGAGTGGCATTATCGACTTGGATAATGACTCATCGGCTCGGCCGGAAACGACGATCAGAAACCGCGGCGCGTTTTCAAAACTTGTGTCATTGTGCCGCCGCCGGCCGCCGCATATTGAGGTCGGGAGAAGTTTAAGGGAGGGCCCTTGGCTGTCTGGCTTACAACAAGGACAACGCAAGTTCTGGAACACTCGCGCACAGAAACACCCACCCACACACACACACGCACACGCACACAGACGCGCGCCGAAACCAATTACTGGGCGCGCGCGCCTCCTTTCGGCTTTTCGTCGGCTCGCAATCCGAGTGTGGGATCTTGCGGACCCGGTCCTGTGGTGTGCCGCACGCGGACGCACGGCGCGTCGAAAGGTCATACGACTTTGGAGTGTCGAGGAAGCGAGCGTCTTCGCTTACCCTTGTCTGACCCTTCAGTCTGGAAACTCCCCGGCCGGCACCCCGGCTCGTCTGACCCGGCGATGCCCGCTTGCAGCAGAGGCCGACAGGCGTCACGGCGGGACCCACTCTAAAAAAGCTACCTGGAATCGACTTTGATTAAAGAAGTCCCACGCGGTAAGTATAATCGGTTTGATATGTGCTAAGGAACCTAATGAAACATTCATTTAATTTTTTTTTAGAATTCCTCTTTTTTAGTTTCAAAGCGCACTTAACGGAGACTGTGAGTACTCTAGTAAATTGTGACTGCTGACCGCACAAATTACCCACACTGTGAATTGTTTCGCGAGGCGCGTGTCGTCTGATAATTGCTGCGCCATGCAGTAATTGCGCGTGCGTGTGTCTCGCGCCAATAAACTCGATCCTCATTAGCAATTTGAGCAGCGCCGTGGAATACCGACGCCAGGCAGCACCAACCGAGCCGTCTTGAATTTAAAATTTGGACGAAAAGCAAGAACATAAACGTTGCCACGTGCCGTCTTGTTATTGTTGTTAGAAGAGAACGAACAAGGTAGGTAAAACTAAAGCCTCTGTTTTCAAGTGTAATCAGTTTACGGTCGAAATAAATCGTGACAGGAATCATCCGCTCAGGTTCCCCCTTTTTAAGTGTACGGCGGTTCGAGCGTAATTTGATGCTTGCCTCAAGCACACAGTTACGCTGTGAAGTGACTCACCTGCTGCTGGTGTTCTGCTGTGACCTCCGTCCCCGCGGGGGCTGCGTTGGAAAGGTGTGCTGATAGGCATAGCGCCAGTGCCAGCCCGACGAGCAGGGGACGCATGGTGGCAGGTACTCCTGGAAAGCGATTCCACCCTCATCAACGGGCCTAGACGGTGTCACTGCTGTTCACCGGGAACTTCATCACCATCATCACCACCATCATCACCACCAAGTGCAGACCACGCTGCTACCGAAGACAAAAGCAGACCAAAACTGAACAAGATGTGCCGAAAACAGTGTAGCTCGTTTCCGAGGTCCGCCCTGCGGCGAGTCTAATACGTGGGACGGCGCGGATGCACTGGGAACCCTTTCCACCCGTTCCGCGCGCGTCTTACGGCGAGTTTTGCGGTGAAAGCCCAACGGCAGGGCGGAGCGTGGCGGAGCGTGGCGCGGCGCGCATTTGGGCGCCTTATCATCGCGGGCATCGCCAGTGCATGTGGATGGTCCTAGTGGCCGGTCCCAGTGGCTGGTCCCAGTGGCCGGTCTCACGTGGCCACAGAACCACCGTCACCAAGAAGAGGACGTCTTTGTGGACAAGAAGGGCGGTTGTGGGGACACGGAGGAGGGGACGGAGAGACAGAAAGCACCGCCGCCCGTAACGAGACTCCAGAGTCTTCTGGACCCCTTCTGGGCGGCTCCAGTGGGGCGGCTCCAGCCGGGCGGTTCGGCCCGCGCTGCAGAGTCATGCCTCTGCACTTGTCACAACACAATACCACGCCGCCGTGTGCGGCCGCAGTCAAGTTTGGCGCTGCGGTTCGGCCTTGGCGGGCTGGCCTGTGGACTGCCAGTGGACTGGCCCGCGGACTGGCCCCAGCCGCCGCTGCAGCAGGTGGCGCGGGGCTGGCCGGCCGGCTGGCCACTCGGAGCGGTCAGTCACTCTGACCGCACTCCGCACAGTGCACGCCGACGTTTCCACGCGCGGCGGTGACGCTGTGACGCGTGTGGCAAGAAGGGGACACAGCGTTCGGCGGCGGTACATTTCCCTCCCCATTGACCGGTGGAGGCCGAGACGTCTCCGTCGTGTTCCAACAACAGCAGCAGCAGCACAGTGGTGGGAATTGCACAGCCAGCTCGCCAGATGCACGCGTGTGATACGCATCACTTCTTCGCCTGCTGTGTGCTGCTGCTGCTGTGGTAACAGCTCCCGAAAGACTGCCTAGACGCCCCACACTGCTGAAAAAAAAATGAAATCGATTCGACGAAAGCTCTTATTTGATTCGCTATCCCGCTGGCAATAAACGGTGAATGCCACGGGCGTTGTGCAAAAGTATAAACAACAGTCTCAGATTGAATTTCAAAGCCACGCGACCATACATATGCCCACGGCGGCTGGCCGTTTGGGCGCAACAGGCCTATTGCGTCTAGTTACGCACCTCTCGGTTCTTTAAATAAGCGCATTTTCTCGGTTCGCTGCCGACGAAATAGAGGGCCGGCCAGACACGCCCGTCTGCGGCGAGCTGCTCCTAGATACGCCAGGATGTGCCGACGGGCCGACGGGCCGGCGCGTTGCACCATGCCCTGGTCAACTCATCCGGCGCTACTGGGGTAATCCTCGGACAGACAGACAGCCGGGCACTCGATTCCAACGGTGACACGGCACACCTCCCCCACATTCTGTGATTCCTCCGAGTTGGAAGTGCTTCATCTAGTCGAAAGTAAAACCACGTGGTTTGCAAGTTGTCAGATCACTTTGGAAAAAAATAAAGTAAATGAAAATCAACAAAAATTACAAAAATATCAACAGGATGATACAAATCCCGGATTTTAAACTGAGTAACAAAGATTTTTTATTTTGCTCTACGTCTTTTTGGTCTGAAAAAACCTAATGTACATGAGAACAAAATAGCCCGCTTGAGAAAAATATCAATCTGCATCAAGAAAATTGACCTGCTTTTGAGTCAGAATGTCGAACACCTTTTTCCGATCACACTCATACACCGCAACAGATCCACCCACGAGTGACTGTCGAGTATGAGTCTAAAATGTCTGAAAATGGCGTTGTACACCTTCAAAGTAACGCCTTTTGATAGATTATGCATTCGTTTCCCAGTTCTTTTACCATGCCGGCAGTGGCGCCCCGCCGGCCGCAAACAGCTATCGGCGGCACGGCGGCGGCGGCTCGGCGGCGGCGGCTCGGCGGCGGCACGGCGCGGCCGGCTGGACGCAACGAGGGCAAACACGAGCTAATGACGTGCCGCAACGCGGCGGTTTGCTCTTCACTTAGGGGGCTCCTTATCCCAGCGGCCTCGGCCGGCCTCGGTTCCCATTGGCCGCCGAGGCGCGCGCACCGCGCGATTGGCCATCCGCCCCGTCCCGGCCCCGGCGACGACGCGCGTGCGTGCCGCCTGCGCTGCCCTTGGCGCCGCCAGCCGGCCTGCCGGCCTGCCGGACGACCAGCCGGACGGACGGGAAGTGGGAAATATTAAGACAACAGGCCGGCTTGGTCTCATTGTTATTCATGGAGGCAGGGATTCACCTAACAAGGGCGAATGGTTGCGGCAGGCGGCGCTCGCGGCGGCGCGGTGCGCCGGCTTTCGACACTCAATGTCAGCCGACGGACGGCGCAGTGGTCCCCGCGGGGGCAGCGGCCACCGCTAGCCGGGACGACCGCGGAAGCGCAGAGACCCTGCATCGTCTGCATGCTGTACAGTCCCAGCTACAAGTGTCGCCACACCGTGCAGTGCAGGCCCGGCCGGCCCGACGCTTTTTTTTTTCGACGCGGATGGCGGTGACCTTTCTTCTGGGAGGGTCGCGCCGCGCCTTGGCTATGGCTACGCCTTGGCTGCGCCTTGGCTGCGCAGTCAAGAGACGCCAGAACCAAAAGTTACTATTGCGGGCCGTTGCGACAGCAGGATGAGCCCAGCTGGCCCTGGCGCGTCGCGTCGCACGCCGTGCCCTGCCGCGCCGTGGCCTGCCGTGTCCTGCCACGCGCCAATCAGGACGCGGGGAAGGACGCCAAGTGCCCGATCGTCGCTCTTATCCGTCAAAAAGGAACGACACGCCAGTTTGACATCGCCAGTAAAAGATCACATGCAAAATTTGATTATTTTTGCATATCTTTGACGCAAACTTGATGTTGTCTCGACACGTGAGATGTGGACGGTATGCTCGGTTCTGACTGGAAAATGACAACAGTTCATTTGATATCCAACCGGCGTCGTTTCAGTCACCCTTTTCTAGCGGTGTTTTCCGCTGCACGGTTAGGTTAGGGTTGTCCTCATGTACACGCGCTCTAACATAAACACTTGGATCGACAGCCAGACACCACTTCTCGCCCGTCCTGGTCGTTCCGTCCGCGGGGCTGGCAGCGCCGCGGCGCCGGCAGAGAGCCGTGACCCAAATGTTATCATCCAGGAGACGGCGGCGAGCCGGGTCCGGGCCGGCACGGCGCGCGGGCTGAGGCTCGGCCTGAGGCTCGGCCCGGCACGGAGTGCTTTATTTAATCCATTTCTTTTAAAGGCATGCCGCGTTACGTGGCCGCCGCCGCGACGGGCAACGCTTTCCGGTGTCCGGTGTGGGCGCCACGTACAGGCGCCATCAGAACATCGAGGCGCGTTTTGCAAAAACAACCGAAACTATGGAGCGAACCCCATCTCCTTCGTCATGCGCTTGCACGCGGCTAAAAACGGATAATTCGTCGTGTTTTTCGCAATTTTTTTCTGACGAAAAGGCAGTAAGCGGCGAGTTCGGCGCGCTCGCCTGGGATGCAAAGGAGCCGCGTGCTGGCAGTGCCTGGCCGTGCTACGCGGTGCTACGCAGTGCAGCGCCGTGCAGCGCCGGGCCACGGCTATGCATACGCATTTGCGGACGGCTAGACGACTTTTACTTTCTCGCCTCGGCCAACTTGCGCAAAGTTGCGATCCCTCGGCCGCTCGGCGCCTCAGCCTGCGCTGTGTCACCGGCCGCTGCCCTCAATGAGGATGGGTCAGAAAGTGTGCCAACAAGCGGAAGGGCTCCGACGAAGGGCTTTGAGCGAAACCGCGGTCGGTCTCTGCGGCCGTGGCCACGGCGTTCCGATACTTTTGCATTGAGTGAAATTCGCACGAGGGCAGCTGCAATGCCACATATTAATCCCCTGATGGTTTCGCTCCGTGCGAGACTTCGCAAGACCTAATCACGTGGCGGAATGGACCGCGTTGGCCGCAAAGTCATTAAGTCGAGCGGAAAAAAAGTTGGTCCAAACTAGTCGATCTGGTGCAAACGAAGACTGTGGCCTGCACATTTTAAGCTGCCTTGTAAGACCTCAGAGACATCAATGACATTTCGGTTGGCGCAGCCAGTTGCGGGTGCGTTGCCTCAATCCATTTGATGCTGCGACGAGTACATGAGTCGCTTTTATCAAATCGACAACTTGGTCCGGACCAACTATTTCTTTTGACACCTCCGCCACATTTTTGACACCGTCCCGGCAACAACGGTTATGAAAGAGAACGATGGGGGAGGGGCGCTTGCCCGGCCCACCGCGCCCACAGGTGCACACGGTGGGTTTCCCGCCGGAGTGTGATGCGACGGACCGATATTGGTCGTTTCGAGAGAATCTCCGCCGCAGCATCGCCGCTACGGCCACGACCACAATGACCCGTTCCCACAGTTCCGCAAGCCGGCTCGCCTCGCCTTGCGATGCCCAGATCGGTGAGGCCCGGCCGAGGTGCCAACGAGCGCTAACAGGATCCTCCGCCATCATGCCCGGCGCGACACTCCGTGCGCTGTCATAAACGCTTCCATTTCGGGGTGAGGGCCATGTATCCAGGCCTGTGACACCGTGACTCTCCGCGCCCCCTGGCCGGACAAACCGAGAAACAGGAAGTGGCTCTTTTAATGATGTCCACTGCTGCAGCCGGATACAGTGTCGTAATGGCGTGCCCGGCCGTGCCCACATGGGTGCGGGCGGGTCGCGGCACGCCGCTGCCACGTTTCCGCGTAAACAACGGAACTTTTCGACAGGGCGGTGCCGGGGAGGTGGCGGTGTTTGCACAGCTACCCTTTCGCGGTGTGGTCACGAGTCGAGCCCGTTTGCTCCAATCATAAGCCCCCCGGCCACAGTGCCCACACCCTGGCGTCGTAAAGCCGTCCTCGCGCGTTTGATGGATGTCCTGAATGACAGGCACGCGTCGCGCGATAGCAAACCACTGCGACATTTCGGCCGGTGAGGCGCGCGGGAAAAACGCCTGAAGAACACGCGCGCTCTGCTTTCCGCGACTGTACACTCGTTCTCCGCTTTCCGCAACTGTACACTCGTTCTTCGCTTTCCGCGACTGTACACTCGTTCTCCGCTTTCCGTGACTGTACACTCGTTCTCCGCTTTCCGCGACTGTACACTCGTTCTCGTTGCGGTCCGTGTTGTTTGAGGCTGCACGAGCGCATGCGGCCGGAGGAGCAGAGGGCGCGGCCACGCCGTGCCCCACACCGTGCGGCAACACGTTACATCCTCCGTTGCGTCAGGGCCGAACGGCCGAACCGTCGCTAGGACCCGAGGAGCCGGCCCAGGCCAGAACGGCGGCCGAACGAGCACCGAGCGACGGCCGAATCGAGCCGAAGCGGGACGACCCGGACGACACTGTCGGTACGGCCGCGCAGCAAAAACCACAACGAAAGCGATAAAGTGCAGGCTGGCTACAAACGCACTCGGGACCGCCAAGTCATGCCTGTTGCCCCAACTGACCTTCTCACCCCGCGCCGCAGAGCCTGGTTCCCTGTGGTGCCTTCGCGGCACTCTGCCTACCTCTCGCACTTACGGGTCGTTCCATAAGGCTGCGAGAGAGACGGAGACAGACCAGCCGGCTGCGTGTGAGAAACAGCGTCAGACTCAGGTGATCGATTCTCAGTCCAAACTCTCCGTCCGGAACACCACTGAGGCGGCAGACCCGAGGATGATCGATCCTCAGTTCGAGCTCTCGGTCCGGGACTCGGCGGCGGCGCGGCGGCCCTTTCTGGAAGGCGGTCTTAATTATGGTGGGGAATCGGAGGCCATCATCATTGTTGAGGCGGGGAGGGGTGCGATGCCGGCAGTGCACTGGCAGTACAGCACGCGGCGGGGCTGGAATGTGTAGAAAGTGAGTGCGCCCCCCCCCCCCTCCCGAGCTGCATTACAGCAGTCGCGCGCACTTGACTCCCAGCGGCGCGGCTCGACCTTCCGATACACTAGTTGGGCTTGGCACGTCTCCAAAAATGGACGCGCGAAACGCGCAAAAATGCAAGCGGTGCGCGCTAATCACTGCTGTTTCCCTACCCCAGCCGGACCGTTGCAGCGAGATTGGAAACGCAATCAACGCGCCACTGCAAGTGCGAGCCACGCCCGGCCTGGACAACGCCACTCATTGCCGGAGTCGTCGCTCTGTCTCTGTCGCACTCCCGGGCGCCCCGTTGGCGGAGCGACGAAAACGACTCTGGGTCGGCAGCCCCGCGGCGAGACCCCGCGAGACACGCGACGCGTCGCCGTCTCTTGCCGCGGATGACGTTTTAGCCGCGACATGCTGACCGACGCCGGGACTCGCTGCGAGTGCCCTCGCTCGTATCGGCGCACTCTCTGGAAAAGTGCAGTCGTAAAAGCCAAGGGAACTCTATCCCCGTTTTTCTTCAATATTACCGCCGGCACAACTAAAAGCCCACCGTGCTGAAACTGAGCGCGCTCCCATTCGCTGCGAGTGGTGCACGCCGCTAAAACGAGACCAACGAGGACGTCGAAGACGCGAAAGCGCTCGGGGGTCACGTTTTTTTCGCGGCTGTCACGCGGAGCCGTTGGCGCGCCGTAAAGGAAGGCGGGGCGGTAGCGCACTGCCGACGGCTGCATTCGGAACCGTTAACAGCAAACTAGGTTTTTTGCGGTGCGCCGGAAGAAGTCCGAACGAACGAGACGGTTTCGCGGCGGCCATCGACGAGCCGGCAGAGTGTACTGCCGCGCGGCCGCCGCCTGGCCGATCAGGCCTGGTCTGGCTGACGACGACGCGACGCCCCGCAGACGACGCCGAGCAGACGACGCGCCGCCAGCTTATTTACACGCGTATCGCCGTGTTGCCGCGCCAAGTTCGAATCAGTTTCACTCTCCGTTCAGAGAAAGTCTAAATGCCGCTTGGGGGTCATTGGCGAGTAGGCATTGGTCAAGCCGGCGTACCGCGCGCCACCATGTGTGTGTGAGTGAGTGTGTGTGTGTGAGAGAGTGAGTGTGTGTGTGTGTGGCGCTCGACGTACGGCCGAGTTGGCTGCAGCCCCAGGCACTCGGTAACGAAGTGCCCAATCAAGTACCGAACAATTACCCGGCAGGCCTGGCTCCGCCACTGTACGCGCGGCATACGAATTAGCAAGGCCGAGCTAAAGGGAAGCGCATCGGCAGCGCAGCGGCGAGGTTGCCTCGGCGTAGCTACGCCTACGACGGCACAGCGCCTTCGGATTCGCACTCTCTCCGCGCGCCGCCCGCCAGACTGGACGCGTTTGCCATTCGTCGCACGACAGCTGACCTCACACACACACACCCTCACACACGCACGCATGTGGGCACGCGGCCGCGTGAGGCCAGGAGGCGGGCCAGGAGGCGGGCCAGGAGGCCGCGAGGGGCGCCACCTCTCCCCTCTCTCTCGCTCCTTCAAGGGCCGCGACAAGGAACACGTGCGCGCGGCGTGCGCGGCTTAGCTGGTCGCCGCGATTCGTTTCGGTTCGACGATGCACCGCCGGGCGACCCTCGTAAAATGCAAGCGCGCGGTGTGCACGTTTGCAAACCGGCGCGTCCAATATTTTGAAAGACTTTCCTTTTCTGGCCTGAGCGGCGCGGCAGTGCGGCTCGCGGCGGCGTGGCACGGCCGGCACGGCGCAGCCTCGGCCTGGCATGTTCGGGGCGGCGAAAGTGATCGAAGCAGTCGGATCGGGTCCAGCCGCCCAGCGGCGCGGCCGGCCACGCCCGCCGTGCCTTTACATAATAATGAAAACCTCAGGAAATGCCACACATTCACACTCACACACACTTGTTTATCCGAGTGCAGTGCGTTCGGGGCCCGAGCGGCGCTGGGCCCGCAGACCGGCGGGGCGGCCGACGGGGGAATTCCATACATACCGTGCGCCGGAATCCACGACAGATAAAAACGAAACAATCACTACCAGTACTTCACTGAAGGCACTCAGAAAAATTTTGGTCTGCACACAGAAAAATCCCATTTGATGGTGGTGGTGGTGATGATGGTGGTGACGGTGAGGGTGGCGAATGGAGGCGCGAGTGGACTCACTGGAGGCTACTTGGGACTGCGTGTGAGCAATGCACGGTAGGTGCACGCCGGGCCGAGGTGCGCTCGGGCAAGAGTTTGGACACAGACTGGTGGCGCGGCACGGCGTCTGGAGCGCGCTGAGGCCGTCCCTGCCAGTCCCTGCATGCGCCGGGGTGGGGGAGGGCCGGCCCGGCAAGGCCCGGCAAGCCCCGGCCGGCAGGGGAGGGGCCTATTACCGCGGTGACGAAAGACTTGTTGGAATGAAAGAAAGAGACGGAGGGGCAGGGAGGGAGGGGGCAGGGACCGGAGACGGCGAGAGTGGTGAGTGTGGCCGAGAGGAAGAGGGAGATGGCTGCCGCCACCGAAAGGGAGAGTGGCAGGTGTGGCGAGGGAGCGAGAGAGAGAGAGAGAGAGAGAGAGAGAGAGAGAGAGAGAGAGAGAGAGAGGGGAGAGAGAGAGAGGGAGCGGGGAAGGTGAAGGGGTGGGGGCCGCGCGGGGAGACAGTGGAGAGAGGAAAGTAAAAGTCTGAGACGATGAAAGAAGGAAAACGGGTTGTGGCGCGGCGTGGCGGTGTCCAGCGGGGCTGCGGGATCACCTTGGCGGGGTGGGCCCCACTAGGCCCACTAGGCCGCACCGCGCGACGCGCCTGCTCGGCGGGCCGGCCTACCGTCGGCTTGTAAGGCGGTGCGGGCCGGTGGCCGACCGGGGGACCGGTTCGCTCGGACTCTCTAGACACGGTCTGGATAATCAACACCAATAATGGATTGCCCTTCGAAAGAGGAAACCTTTGACGTAGGGATCCGTGGATTCGGTTGGTTTTTGAGCAGCATGGAGTTCCACTCGTGCCCGGCGTTGGACCCGCCTACAGTGGTTTGCTGGTTTAAATATGCGTCAATAATCATCATACTATTCAAGCATAGGCTGAAAAGACAATTCTTTAAGTAGTACACAATCAAGCTTAAGTTCGTTAACTTACCAGGTGGGTACAACTTGGTCCTCAGTCCTTCACGGAATGCACGCGCGACCGTCCTGTTGCAGCTTGGGCCGCCGAAACGGAATCCAGCCTGGAACAGGATAAAAATAAAGCCGTGGTTTTTGGATCGCAGCCGATGGTGAAATGATCCCATCTGCGTTGGTTTGACAGACGGAACCTCCGGCGGGCACCAGAGCCCCGCGGAGGTACTGGCTAATGCCCGTAATGCCCGTGGACGCCGTGGACGCGATGCAGTCGGACGGGGCGCTGACGTACGGAATCAAGACGTCTGGCGAGCCGTGTCGTAATCCTGGACCAAGTCCTGGACGCACAGGGCGTCCCTGGCGAGGTGACTAGAGCCCCGAAGACCCGCTACGCCGCTACACTCCTAGTCCGGCCGGGCGGCCGGGCTGGGAGCGGGCCACGCCGGGCCACGCCGGGCCGCGCTGGGCCGCGCCGGCCAGACCGGTGTCAAGGTGTCAATGGACCACAAAAAACAAACGAGAAATTGGACGACCAACGGCATCTATTACGGCGCCGTCTCGGGGCAGCTCGATTGAAGTGTGGGGGCACTGTGCGAACGTGCCAACGGTGTCCTTTGAAATGGCATACTCCAAAAGCAGTGTGGAGGTAGTCATGCACTCTGGACCTAGATAAAGTTTGGTCTCGCAAGGCTGTCCCTTCGCTACTGCTGCATGTTCGCGAAGAAGACGGCCCTCCAGGGCGGCGGTCTCGGTGACCTGAACGCACGGCGCCACGGTAAATCTCATAGGTTCCCGGCACGGCGTCATCGTGGACGAGACCGCTCGCAAACGCGCCCCGTCTCCCTGTCTACCTGTCGCCGTGTTTCTCGCGTCGCGGCGAAGAGGGCGACGTCGGGGAGGTCACGGCGGCGCCTCCACGCCGTGGCACGTCAAGAACGGGGCCTTTACGACGCGCGTTGGGGCCGTCGTAAACGACACTGTGTGCACCCAGTCCGCGCGGCGTCGTCCCGGCTGGAACCACTGTAAGTGCTGCAACGTCCATGCTGGGTCCTGGAAGGCGCCCGCCCAGCCCACGAGGTGCACGGGGTGGCCGGCCGGCCGAGCGCGGCCCGAGCGACTCCCGTTGCCCTTGACACCGTGGACGTCGTCTTTGGAGCAGGCTGGGTCGGCCGGTGCGCCGAGCCTGGCCGAGCCTCGCCGAGCCACGCGGGGCAGTGACGCTCGACCCTATCGCCGAGATCCGCCGTCAGGGGGCAGCACCACGCGCCGCGGCGCACAGTGGGCCAGAAGACCGGTGGAGGTGGCCAAAACTCTAGACGCGTTTTGAGCTCCAGAATCGCTAAACAGGCCTCGAAACGAACGTGTGACCGCACCTATGGATTCCTCGTTCGGAGAGCAATCCATTGGTGGGGTCACACGTTCGCTTCGAGTCCCATTTAGCGACTCTAGAGCTCAAAACGCGTCGAGAGTTTCGGCCGTCTCCGCCGGCTTCTGGCCCACTGTGCGGCGTCAGCGCGGCCCATTCAAATGGGGCCGCCCTCCGCGCCAGGCCAGCCAGGCCAGCCAGCCTGCGCGGCGCGCGCTTCCTCCCGAACATTAAAACGTTTACTGCAATCGGCAGACGACTCGTGATCGCCCTGGGCGTGCTTGTGCGAGCGCCGCGCAAAAACGAAGCGCGAAGCGTTACAGAGTCACGGCGATTAAAGGCGGACGGACGGACGGGAATAATACTGCGCGGACAGACAGACAGACAGAGCCCACCGTCCGGCCATAACGGCGTGCTGACTTGCATTTCCGGCCGTGTGCAAAGCACTGGCTACCCCAGGCAGCCTGCAGGCAGCCGGCCGGCCCGCCCCGGGCACGCCCCGGGCCAGAGATGCAACACATGCACCGCGGTCACGCGGTGCAACGCGGTGCAACGCGGTGAAATGCCTTGTAATTACAGCCGCACGTGTCGCATCGGAAACTCCCCTCTGTGTGTGTGTGTGTGTGTGTGTGTGCGCGCGCGCGCGCGCGCGCGCCCTCCTCTTTGGTGTCTGCCGCAGCCTCCTTTCAGCAACATCCAAAATGTCGACACGATTGCTACGCTTGTACTTTAGTGCCATTCCTGGCGTATGCAAACATGAAGGTTTCTCTTGAGAGACTGATGAAATCTCTGCAGGGCCTCTGAATTAGCAAACCCTTTATCCCTTTAGCGGCTTCATTTGGCAGCGGCGCTGAATTGTCCATTTGAAAAATGGCATCGATTAATTCATCGCCAATCTCTCACCGCGAGTGTGAAAAATCGCGAGCAAGGACAGCCGCGCTAGTCGCTTATCACACGCTGCGAGTGGAGTCAATCATAATTATTATCGCGGCTCCTTTTGCTCCTATTCGTTAAGCAAGAAATGGCGCCGGCCCGCTGGAGACTCGCCGGAGCCGCGGCGCCGCGGCGCGCAGCGGCCACTGGATATCTGGATCACGCTTCCTACATTAGTGCACGGTGCAGTTTCAGCATAACTGCGCACCGCTGGTCGAAATGTGGCACAGCGACGCACAACTTGTAGTCACACTCCTGGCCCGGCCCCGGTGCGTGCTGTGCCCCACTTGGTGAAGAGAAGTGCAAGCCGCCGAGGCGCGCTGAGGACGGCCCTGGTGAGTCACTGGCCCGCTCACTGGAGACCCCGCGACTGTTGGCCAAGATCCGTCGCGGAGTCGGATCGCAAAGCCGGACGAGCAGCAGGA